AAAAAAATTTAATGTCAGATTCCTCCACGTACCACTAGCGGGAGCTGGCGTACCACCAGTGGTACGCGTACCACAGGTTGAGAACCACTGCCATAGAGGATGCTATTGCAGTAGTGGAGTCGTGAAGTGATGAATGCATGAATCAGGGTTTCAGCAGCAGAGGAGGAGAGTGATGGGCGGAGACGGGCAATGTTTTTGAGGTGGAAAAAGGCGGTCCTGGCGATGTGATTTATGTGGTGGTTGAATTTGAGCTGACTGTCGAAAATGACTCCGAGGTTGCGGATGTGAGGGGGGGGAGATAGAGTGTGGATGTGAGGGGGGGGGAGATAGAGTGTGGCTGTCAATGGTGAAGTTGAAATTCTGGATGTCTTTGGTACGGGATGGGGGGCCGATGATGATGATGTCTGATTTGGCACTGTTCAGTTGGAGATAGTTTGTTTGCATCCATGCTTTTCTTTCTGAGAGACAGTTGGTGAGAGTGGAGTGTGTTGTGGGGGTGATGGTTTTTGTTGAGATATAAAGTTGGATGTCATCGGCGTAGCAGTGAAATTGAAGGATTGTTTAGACACTTTACGGGCAGAAGAAACATTTCTATTAAAGATAGAATTATACATTTCTGTCTTTTTATGCCTATAATAGCTACTAACTTGAATTTGTATTCCAATTAATTAATCAATTATTTTTTATATTTTATTGTAATGTAGAGACAAGGCTTTTAGTGGCAATCATGTATTGCGTTACCATTATATGTAAAAAAAATAATAATTAAAAAAAAAGTCTAAATATGATATTTGGCCTCAAATCATCTGAGGCCTGGCACCCCCCCTGCGATCTTCGGCCCCCCCCAGGTTGGGAACCACTGAATTATACAAAACAAATAATGTAAATCACGCATACAGACAAACAAACATGTCTTCGGGTTTTAAGCTGTCAGTCGGACAAACAAGACATTTTAAAAATGTCTCTTTGGGTTTTACAAAATTAAGATGAGCATTTTATTTTTTTTTTGCAAATTCACACACCAGACCAATAGGAAAAAAAAAATGATTTATAGATTGATTAATAATTACAATCCTTAGTTTCAGCAAAAACTTTTAATGTAACAACCACAATTCTACCAATTTTTTCTAAACTTAGAAAACAACTAACTTAAGATTTAATAGCCACTGTCTGTAAGTCAATGGTCTGGAAAAATGTGATTTCCCCATCTATATAAAACAAAACACTTTTCTCCTGTGCAGTGTGTCTGTTAGCACACGCACACCTTCATCTCCAACAATGCAAATGCATGTTCTGCATTGCATGAACCATCTTTCCTGTCGGTGAATCATATCACATCTCCGGGGGGACTGATTTTGTCCTGCAGCTGGCCGGTTCTGTGCGCAAAGGTGGAGGCTTCTCATCAGCTGGCCAGACCTCCTGGTGGCATTAACACGCCACCACTGGTTTCTATCTACAAATGACGCTGTCCAGGGGTCTGATTGCAGAACCAGAGAGGCAGGACTGCAGCTGCTGCTTCTGAAGTGGCAGCCATGATTGTTATCAGTAGGGTCCCAATGCTCATTTTGGCCTTCATGAAGCTGCCGGCCAGCCATACAGGCACCACTGGTCACACACATCATGCAGAGCTCTCTCTCCCACACACACACACACACATACACACACACATACTGCAAAGCCATACCTTGGCATAGTTTGTAGTCTTGATGAACCATTGTGTGAGCAGCTTCTGCTCCACCAGGGCGCCAGATCTCCAGGAGCGACCATTTTCATCCACCTGCTCATCAGCCAGCACCGTCTGATCCACAGGGTCCCAGTTCACCACCGCCTGGAACACACACAAATGCAGATAAACAACACACACACAAATGCAGATAAACACACATAGTTCAAATGAAAAAAGAGCTTAGGAAGTAGTCTGGATTTAATAGACAGAGAAAAGGCTTATTTCAAGGTTGTCCAATTTCGTTAAACATTATTAAAAAGCTTCTAACAAGCGCTGCTATTTTCCATTCTTCTTTTTTTGTCAAACCGTAATGGGTGAGCTGCCTCAATTGTTCCTGTAGCAGTCAGCGAGCTCAAACCTAAACCAATCATATCATCCTTTCAAAAGGAAACCTGTATAAGCACTTTAGTGCAAAGGCCATTCCTACCTCTTTCTGATATGCCAGTCCTGCTTCAAAGAGCTTGACAAACAGATACTGTGTCCACCTGTAGTAGTCTGGAAGGCAAGTGGTGACTTCCTGTCGGGAAAAGCAGAGTAATGTCAGCAGTGGGTGGTGTGACGCATACAAGAGAGCAAATCAGATCTAAAAGCCGTACAGTCTGTTTGATGCTCAGTTCTACTTCACTTCCTACTCACCCGGTCCCAGTTGAAGCAAAGCCCGAGGCTGTCCAGCTGCTCCCGCATGGACTGGATATTACTGACGGCACAGAAAACAGCAATGTTAGGGTATGTTTAACAATTCACGCTTATAAGAACAGATGTGATATTTCAACTACCTCTTAGTCCACTCCTCTGGGTCGAGACCTCGCTCAATGGCTGCATTTTCGGCCGGAAGTCCAAAAGCATCCCAACCCATCGGATTCAACACCTTTGGATTAATTTATAAGATCTGTATTAGTCATGATAGCACTGTAAACAACAATATGGATAATCAACTCATTTCAAATCATTTAACATACAAACTGTTCACTACTTTCAACTCAAAATGTGAAGGTTTGCTTTCTCATTGCAAAGTATTTTCAATTTTTATCACTACTTTTACAGACCAAATGATCAATAGAACAATTATAGACTGATTCAGCCTGTATCAAGAACATTTAAAGTGAAAATAAGCCAAGATTATATGAATTTGAAATTAGAATTTGCTAAATGTTTTGTTTTTTGATGTTCATTCACATACAGAGAAATGTCTGCCTTCAGTATATATATATATATATACATATATATATTCTAGAGTCAAACTCCACATCTAGTTTATCATTTTGCACAATAAAAGGTCCAAAATCCTATTTTATTTGTATTTACTTGCACATCTCAAAACATTCTCTTGCACTATTTTTTCAGCTGTATTTGTTTTATGTCCTGTATATATTCATGTTGCACTGTTGGAGGAGCCTGTGACTTCAGTTTTTCATTGCCATATCTACACTGTAGCTAACGTGCATGTGCACGTTAGCTACAGTGTAGATATGGCAATGAAAAACTGAAGTCACAGGCTCCTCCAACAGTGCAACATGAATATATACAGGACATAAAACAAATACAGCNAACAATACGGTGAAAGACAGAATTGACAAGATGGCAAGTAACTGCGAGCTGCAGCTGCTGGAAAAGCTTGGAAAGGGGCCATTTGCCATACAACTTGATGAAACCACAACTGTAGCAGACGAGGCTGTGCTGATCGTTTATGTGCAATATATCGACACATCGCCAAAATCCGGCTTACTCTGAGCATGTGTTTTAAACAGTTGAATCCCTTTGTGAATTGTTTCCACTTGCGCCGTCCTTTAATTTCTTCATACAGCGGGCATCCAAATTAATTAATCCTGAGTACAATAACCATCAAAGCCACTCCAATAGTGCTCCTTAATTACGCTTTCATCCTCCTTTAACAAAATACTTCACATTCATCCAGTTTGTGACAGTAGTTGTAGCATTTTTGAGACTTTTAAACTTTAATTACGTGTGTGTGTGTGTGTGTGTGTGTGTGTGTGTGTGCGCGCGTGTGTTTGTGTGTGTGTGTGTGTGTGTGTGTGTGTGTGTGTGTGTGTGTGTGGGCTCTCGGGGGAAAAGGTTGGGAACCCCTGGTATAATTTCAAAAACAATTTAAATGTAAGATGGTCTGTAACTGTTAATTCTTTTATGCAAATAAAAAATAAATATAAAAAAAACAAACCCTGAAGACATCCAGTGAAAAACAATAAAAAACCCAGAAAAGCAGCAGCTAAACCAGAGAAACTGACATAACTGCTTGAAAAATGACATGAACATCAACATAGTTGCAGATTATTTATCGATCAACTAATCATATCAATTATTTTAGGTCTTCTTTGGTCAAACATCTGCCACACGAAGGAAAGGCAGAGGAAAGTACAGCATTTGTATACTGTACTAAAATGATATTGAAAAGACCTGCCTGTTGGATGTGAAACAATCTAAGTCTTGTTGCTTTGAAAAATGATCATCAATAATGGAACACTTGTGATTTCTTATAGAACATGTAAAAACACTTGGTCCTCAGAGGGTTTGTTCATTCCTTTGATTAAAACGTCAGCTCGTCACCCAGTTTTAGCCGCAGCGCTGAAGCCGCCCATGCTTGTCTATGTCAGAGGTGTGAGAGGAGGTGGAGGCAGCCTACTGTGACAATGTGTTCCTGCATTTCTAATTTCTCCCTGACGAATAGAGAAGTGGGAAGGAAGGAAGAGGAAGGTGTTAAGGAAAAGAAGTGAGAAAGACAGATGGAGTGAGAGGACGACCGTGTGAAACCTTAGCTTGATGTAATTGGACTGTGATTTCCCGCGTGTGCGTTTCTCTGCTCGCCTGTACACGTGTTCCACTCTGTTAGACAACATTAACCTCAGACAATATTTACTCAGCAGTCATCAGTTCAGCTGTCAGCTAGTTCAACGGAAAGAGTTTCTTCATGAATCTAAATCATATTGTTTGTTCCAGGACATAGTTGACTGCATGTTATTTCTAAGATGGAGCAGGCAGGATGTGAAATGATCACATTGCTGGAGCAGAGTTTTCAATTTCATGCATAATCAAACTTGTTGCACACATGCCGCCTGCCTGTTGCACTGACATCTAAATGATTCACAAACTGAGGGCTCAGTGTGTTCCTCAGCAATATTATTATTCAAATATGAGGGCTGTTTTGCATCATTTGGGTACATCGTAACGTTGGTAGGTAACATGGCAGCAGCCAGCGAGAAAAAGCTAGATTTTTACAAAAATGAAATGATGATAAACGCATTCCAGTTTTATCAACTCTTTTCCAAGGAAAGAAGCTACCAGCGCTTAAGTTGCTAAATCTACTCAAATCTAGCTGTGTCTGGCATTTCTACAAAGCCTCTATAACACATGACTAGCTTCAACCACAAACCACTGTTGACTTTGGGATCACTGGTTGATATCCTTGTGTTGCTGCATAATGTATTATTTTAGTCCAAGGTGTACTTGATGTGTCTTTCTCACACATGCTCATACAATCCTCGGTCATTGCCATAAAATCCCTTTTCTCACACGCTTTGCTTAGTTGCCATGGAGACTCCTGTCCTTGCTGTTACCCCTGGTTCTCTATAAAACTATATTTTTAAATCCAGACGAGTGAACATTTTTACTGCCTCTCACTGTAACGCAACCATCGGTTATTTATCATTCCTCTTTCTGCTTGGAAAGTCTCTGTTTTTGCTGAAACAGATTCTCCATCATGTCTCTCCATCATGCTGACACAGATTCACTGCTGGTGTGTAGAGCCTCTTTTTCTCACACTCTGGAGTAAATCCATAACCGACACACTCCACGGCCATGAAGGTGATGACTATAGCCAGTGTTTATGTGCCTATCGATATCGCTGTGATGAGGTACTGCATGCTGAGCGGCACAGTAAGGGGGGGATTGTGGGTAATAGATTGTGACAGCCTGAAAAGGTAATTGAGAGTTCGAACATCACGGGCCTCTGCCCAGCTGTGGCTTCGTGGCCCGAGCCTCGTTGATATGCATAGCTTCCTTTAATCATGCAGAATAACGAGAGAGAGAGAGACGAGACGAGAGAGAAGAGAGAAGAGAGAGAGCGAGAGAGAGGAGAGAGACGAGAGGAGAAGGCGAGAGAGAAGAGAGAGCAGAGAGAGAGAGAGAGAGAGAGAGAGAAGAGAGAGAGAGGAGAGAGAGAGAGAGAGAGAGAGAGAGAGAGAGAGAAAGAGAGAGAGAGAGAGAGAGAGAGAGAGAGGAGAGAGAGGAGAGAGAGAGAGCGAAAGAGAAAGAAACGCAATTTTTGGAATTGTAGTTTTTTTTTTGAGTTGAAACAACAAACTAGCTTCAACTACAATTGACAACTGTCAACCGTCTGCTGTGGGGCTGCTAAGCTGGTGGGGCTGGCAGCTGTACCTGGCGCCACTGTTGGAAGGACTGCACGCAAAGAAGGTAGGCGGAACTTATAAACTGAATTATTTCATGAAGATAAAAAGAAAGGAAAAAGAAAAAGTATTTGTAAGGCCCTAATTACATTAGCTCTCTTTGGAAAGCAAAACAAGTGGTTCGCATGGAAACTGTCAGGCAGGGCAATAAGAACTTCTCAGCTCTCAGAGGCAAGAGGGAAGAGAGATAAATCCTGGCTAAACTGCAAGAGTGTAAAAGTGCGAAGGACAACACAAGGAGAAGACACTGTGTGGAAACCAGAGGTCGCTCTTCAGCTTGACTATGCGCGGACAAAAAGGAGGAAGGAAGAAAGAACAACCGTCATATTCTTTCACTGATATCGCAATCTAAAGCATCTGGAAAGGATACTCTGTGCAGCAAATTATGCATACGTAATCCAGAAGGCATCGCTCAGGAGGCAGATTAAAAATCTGTAAAGATGAACACCTTGACAAAGGATGACCCTCTGCTCACCATCANCGGTGTTCAATGTAGAAGTGGAGGAGGAGAGGTTGTCTAACTTCACAGACTGGGGTCTTTTAGTCAGAAAGTCCAGCATCCAGTTACAGAGCGATGTATTGATACCAAGCTGGCAAAGCTTGGATATCAGCTTGGAGGGGATCACAGTGTTGAATGCTGAACTGAAATATATGAACAGCATTCTGGCGTAAGATTTGGGGCTATTACATTACATTAAATTACATTACATTGCATTTAGCTGGCGCTTTTATCCAAAGCGACTTACAATAAGTGCATTCGACAAGGAAGATACAACCTTGAAGAAAACAGAATCATATAAGTACATCAGGTTTCATGGAGCCAAACATTTCAAGTGCTACTCAACTGGCTTTAGATAAGCCAGCCCTTTATTAGTATATAAGTGCTTTGTAGCACTTGAAATGTTTGGCTCCATGAAACCTGATGTACTTATATGATTCNTGATACTCCTCCGATTGGCGCCAACATTGACGTTACTGTGTCAGCTTTCATAATAATAACAGTTTGCTGCGTAAAGGAGATGACAGCTCATCTGCAATCAAAAAGAAAATGAGGACCTACCTAGAGAGCTATCTTAACTTCGGTTTCATGGAGGGAACGGACAAAACCCGCCCAGAGTGTGTGATATGCAGAGAGAAGCTAGCCAACGAAAGCATGAAACCCAGCAAAATGAAGAGACACCAACAGACCATGCACCCAGAAACAGTTGGGCGTGATCGGGACTTTTTCATAAAGAAACAACACCTTGCAAAGGCAAACAAGCCAATGGATATTAGAACAGCGTTTGTTAGGGCTGGCAGCGATGCACAGAAGGCCACCGAGGCCTCTTTTGAATGTGCACTTTTAATAGCAAAGGCAAAGAAACCGCACAACATTGGCGAGCAGCTCATCAACCAGATGGTTGAGAAACTGTGCGGCCCGCAGGTGGCGGAGAAGCTAAAAACTGTACCA